GAGGGAGGGAGGGAGGGAGGGGTTAGCACTCTGCTCATTACCCCCAGGATTTTCACCTTTACCCAATTTGGGGTAATTTACTCCTGTTCCCCGACCTATGGCTTAGGCCTACAGCTATTTTCTTTTCCAAATATGATTTGCAATTGTAATCAAAATGTTCTGTATTAAAGTATTGGATGAATGATTATATCTCTATTTATAAAGATGCTCTCACATGCACAGTATGTATATTCACAAACATAGGTAATTTACTCCTGTTCCCCGACCTATGGCTTAGGCCTACAGCATATGTATTTTCCAAATATGATTTGCAATTGTAATCAAAATGTTCTGTATTAAAGTATTGGATGAATGATTATATCTCTATTTATAAAGATGCTCTCACATGCACAGTATGTATATTGTGTGCACAAACATATATAAATACATGTTTATTAAATGGCAGAACAGCCCAACTGAACAATGAAAGGAAGGTGAAATGTGAAATCTAAACCAGCATCAGTTTTAATATGTGCATTAGCAAAACGAAGAAAATTAAGTTATGGTATATCTTAAGCAAAATACAGTGGTGCCTCGCTTAGCTATGTTAATTCGTTCCGAAAAAATAGCTGCTAAGCGATTTCATCGCTAAGCAAAACGTGGTTTCCCATTGAAATGCATTGAAAACCGGATAATCTGTTCCAATAGGAACGAATTGCCGTCCTTAAGCGAAAATCGCCATAGGAAACGTAGCTAAGCGAAACGCGGTTCCCGGATTGAAATGCATTGAAACCTATTCAATGCATCTCAATGGGGGGGGAAATACAACAACAAATTAAAAAAGAGTCAGAACAAAGTCAAATTTGGTTAACAAAGGGTTTATTAAGTGCACTTTATGATTTCAAACATTTTAAACAGTAAACTTTATAAATAACAGAAAATTTTTTAAAAAACAGCAAACATGAGGCTGTTTAAACCACCGTTAAGCGAAACAGGGGACCCAAAATTTAATCGCTATGCAAAGCATGATCCCAGCCTTCACTAAGTGAAAATCACCCATAAGGACCATCGCTAAACAAAGCGCAAAAACGTTCCAAAAAAGTCATTGTTAAGCGATTTCATCGCTAAATGGAGCGACCGTTAAGTGAGGCACCACTGTATTTGATATGAACCAGTATTACATCTCAAGAAGAAAAGTAATGTACACGCCAGGCTTTTCCATCTTGTGTTCCAAGCGATATTGAACAACAGTTTACATCATTCTTAACAATTAGGACCAGATTAGGATTATGGAAATTGTAGTCCAGCAACGTCTGCGGAATGGTATCAGTGATATCTACATTGATTTTAGGCTCATATATTTCATTTATCCTGCTTGTCTTCAGTTTATATACCAGTCTATCCCTTTCCTCTAAAGTGTTGTACTGTAGTTCCCATTATGCTGTTTGAAGATTATGTCACCTATAATCTGAAGATAGATGCTCTCCTAACCAAACAACACAATTTACTGGAATTAACTGGACTGCTTAAAGTCTGGCTGATGGTTGGCCCAGTGTCGTGATATTAGACTGTGGAACATACAATCATCTTATTAACTGATTTATTTGCACATTTGACTTTCGCAGACTGTGGGCAGCCACATCGTGAAATGAGAATGAATCCTAAGGCTATCACTGCACCTCAGATGTTTGGACGTCTTGACGTTGCAACCAATGATTGGACAGATGGAATATTCTCCACCCTTTGGAGGAAAACATTGAGAGCTAAGAAGGGTATGCACAATACAAGTACTAGACACTGATACATTAATAATTAGAGTTGTGAGAATTGCAGGTCCCAGAATACCCCAGCCAGTGTGGCCAATGACTGGTTAGGGCTTTCTGCACGTTTTGATCCAAAAGAGTCATTTTCTCCCTCTTTGTGAAGAAGTGACATAACCGCTGCTTCTTTCACAATGAAAAATGGCTTTTCTATGACAACATTGCAGAATTTATCATCATTAATCCTTCTTGTTACTAATCCAGCCAGTCCTCCTCCCAATACTACAGGAAAGATTTGATGCTGTTGAGGCTGTTGGGAGCAAGCTAGTGAAGAGGATAGATCCAATAACATACGGGATTGTTTTAGAACAGTAAGAAACATTGAGTTTCCAGATCTAGTTAGACTATAACATTCCTTACAGTCAGAGGAATTATGAGAGTTGTATTCCTGGAAGGAGACTTTTTGCTTATTCAGGAAGACAGTTTCCCCATCACTCTTGGTTTCTGTACTTATCTGTGCATGTCAATAACGTTATGAGCCACACTCCTTCCTGGTGCCACATTGAAGGTTGGGTTCATTTGCCACCTCTCTGAAAACCAAACAAGACATGGCAAACTATTTGAGCAACAAGAAAAATGAAATAGAAACGAAAGAAAAAAAATATTATGGCATCTTTAAGACTACCAGATTTGTTTCATTGTGTTTAAAGAAATGGATTATAATTTATCATTTAATTTATTTAAAATATTTTAAACCTGCCTTTCTCTTTAAAAAGGGCCCAAGGCACCTTACGACAATGAAAATACAATATTTAAGTTAATAACAGTGAGTATACAATATTAAAAGGATGAAATGAATACAATATTAAGAAAAATAAGCAACAAGAAAAAAAAATCCATACAGCAAGGTACAAACAAACTGTTTCAAAAACTCTACTTGGTAGCCATTTGCTCCGGGAAAGTTTGCCTGAAGAGAAATTATATAATTCACGAAGGTTCATGGTTTAAAGATGCCACAATACTGTTTTGGTTTTGGTTTTAGAATTTTTTTTGGTCATGTTTCTTTAAGAACCTGAATGGGGGGGCACTTTTCACTTCACAACAACCATGTGAAGTAATTTGGGCAATGAGATGGTGACTTCTATAATATTGTCTGTTGAATTTCTTGGATGTGTGGCAAGTACAATAGTCATCATCATACTATACTTCCTGGATCTCTTAGTTATGTTTACTTTATGTAAGGGCATCAAAATATTACAGATGAGGATGCATGGATCAATTTACCTGAAATGCTTTTTTTAAAAAATTGGGTTTTAGGAGAGCACATTTGGATAGTACTTGACGGTCCCGTTGATGCAATTTGGATTGAGAACTTGAATTCAGTACTTGATGACAACAAAACATTGACCTTGGCTAATGGAGATCGGATCCCTATGGCGCCAAACTGTAAAATTGTATTTGAGCCTCATAATATTGACAATGCCTCTCCTGCCACTGTGTCAAGGAATGGCATGGTGTTCATGAGCTCATCGGTTTTGAACTGGAGTCCCATTCTTGAGGTACTGATGTTTTCTCTTCGCATTCCTTATATCGCTAAAGTTGATGACCCTTGTAGCAGGAAAAGCAGACCATGCTTCCTGTGTCCTTGCTTGATGTTACAAATGTTTCCTTCCATTCTCTGTTCTCAGCATACTATTGTAAAGCTCTGAAGAAGCCGAGCCAGGATTTTCCATGATACAGTATTAGGAGCATGGTGTGGTCAGGCCTTTTGATCTCAAAGAAGGGGGCTATCACAAGTGCAAATTGCATGGCATTGGGAGCAGGATCGTTGGTGCAGCTTTAGTTCAATTTGTATATTAGTTCTCTATGACTTTTTTCAATTAATGAATAGATAGAACAATAAAATGTGTGAGCAATGTGTGTTCTCCAAGGCTATTTTTTGCAACCCTGGAGCTCCTGATTTCCATGTCTCTCCCTCTTTAAAAAGGCTGAACTGCAGCTGATGGAACCAGAAATATTTCTGGATTTAGTTTCTCGGGGTTGTTTGTTTGTTCAAAACATGTATATCTCTTTGCATTCCTTTCTCCTAAAAAAACAAGCAAACCCCAAGGCAGCTTACAGTAATTAAAAAGAAACAATATTAAAAATTGAAAATGACAAATTATTACAGTATTTAAAAGAATTAAATATGTATAATATTAAAAATAGTATATAAAAACAGTAATAGCATACTAGTATATTAAAGATATATAATATTAAAAATAGTATATAAAAACTGTTATCTTGGGTTCTTTTTAAGGAGAAAGGTGGGATAAAATATTTTAAATAAATAAATATAAATGCTAAAGCACACATTATAAACAACAAACACACAAACGAGCCCTTGGGGGGGGGACCCCTCTTAGTCAGCCAATCACTAAGAAAAAGCCTACCTGAAGAAAAGGGTCTTTGCCTGCTTGTGGAAGAACAGGAAAGATGAGGCCAGCCTGGCCTCTGATGGCAAGGAGTTCCAGAGTTTGGGAACAGCAACAGAGAAGGTCCTCTTTTGTGTCTTCGCCAAAGCCACCTGTGAGAGTGATTGGACCGAGAGGAAGGTGTTCCTTTGTACTGTGCCACTTCTTTGAGGCACAAGAAATTTGGGATGCCAAAGTAGGACAAGTTATAAAATAACTGTCATTGCTTCAAGAAGATCACCCACTGATATTCATAATTTAATATGCCTTGACTTAATGCATGTTTTCCACTTCTGAAGCGAGCAACGTGTGGGATGAATTTCAGTCCATGTGTTTACAGCAGAGATAAGTTCCATCCCTCTCCCAAAATAGTTTTAGCAATGTCAGAACGCATACTCACTTTTTGAATTTTTTTTGCTACTCCTTTTGAAAGTATTCAGATCAGGTGAAAACATTCCCCCCCCCCTTGTTTAGGCAAGTGTTCTCTTGGGGAAAGCTGTAAATTTCTGCTTAAATTCAAAAGTTGAGAATATTCAGTGGAGTTCTGGTTTAAGCTGACACTCTGACTTTAATTATATAGTGAAAACTCATAGAGTTGTTCTATCTTGGTTGCAACAGGGCTTCCTGAAAAAGCGTCCTGGACAGGAAGCTGAGATTTTGCGTCAACTGTATACAGCATCTTTTCCCGACCTTTACCGATTTAGCATCCAATCCTTGGAATATAAGATAGAGATGCTAGAAGCCTTTGTGATAATGCAGAGCATCAATATGCTGCAAGGTCTTATTCCTTGTAAGGTAAATCATTTAAATTATTGACAATTGAGTTCTGGAAAACTCTCTCGTTACCAGTGGGACCACACCCATGGCTCTATGTGCACGTGCCCATACAAAATGTATAAATGTCTTCTCAAAATAACTGTTGAGGAATCGTGTTCCAGTAGGGCATATGGAAATTGTCTTAGGCTCAGTCCCTCACATTCACAATTAAAAGGTGATGGCAAATACTTCTGACTGATACCTTAGTCCCAGGGGGGGCAAAGTTTGGCACATGGCCTGTATGTACACAGACCTCAGAGACCCATGGACTGCCAACAGATCTCACCTCACCACAACACTTTATAATTTTAATTCTTTTTCTGCTCCAAAAGTCTTCTTGTATTCTTAAGACAGAATGGAAGGCAGTTTGGTCCTCAGCACCCTGCCCCTCTCAATTCTTGGTAGTTTTAAAAGAATTGTATGAGACGGCTTTTCCGGTATAAGAAACATTTTTAAAATATCTTTTTGGGGTAGGTGTAGAAATAAGTAGAGCCCTCCAAGGTCCGTGGTAAAGAGCCATCCCCCCAAGGTTGACCACCCTGGCCCAAGAAGGATGAGGGAGGAGCCTTGTGCAGCGGTTAAACTGCAGTATTGCAGCCAAGATGCTGCTCTTGACCTGAGTTTGATGCTGATGGGTTCCTGTAGCTAGCTCAAGGTTGACTCAGCCTTCCATCCTTCTTAGGTAGGTAAATTGAGTACCTAGCTTGCAGGGGGACAATGTGTAATTTACATAATTAAATTGTAAACTACCCAGAGAGTACTTTAAGTATGACGGAGTGTTATAGAAGCAGTACACTTTGCTTTAGGCTAGATGGATCAACAATCTGTTTCTGTATTGGCCAGTGTCATATATTCCCATGTGTCATATTTAGAGATGGGCAGGAACCAGTAAATTAATGGTTTGTCTGAGTCCACAAACCATGAATATCCCATGTTTTCCTGATGAATCGGTTTGTGGGTTTTTTAATAGACAACCCAGTGGCTGCCTTCGGGAAAAAAAACACACACCCGGTGGCCTTAGCTGAGCTTCTGTCCCCACAGCCTGTCTCCCTATGTCCTTCCCACTGCTCCTATTCCCTTCCCACTGCCTATGTTCCCTCCCTATGTTGTCCTGCTGCCTCTTAAAAGGGAAAAGGCGCCTCTCAGCTGAGAGTTGGCCAGGATAGGTGGGCAATTTCCTCCCTTGTCCTTTTAAGACTGCCTCAAGGAGCTGTCTTAAAAAGAAAGAAAAACAAAGAAAAACAAAACCCACCTCTCAGCTGATGGTAATGGTGGGCAGTGGGCAGGCAACAAACTAGGAAGTTCATTATATTTCCCAAAATTTGTTGCTTCAAGAAAGTTTGTATTTTCTGGTTTGGATGAACCCAAACTCATCCGAACCAACAAGTTAGCGATTTTTGATGAATTTCCTGGTTTGATATATTCACGAAGGCTTTCACAGCCGGGATCTAATGGTTGTTGTGGGTTTTTCGGGCTCTTTGGCCGTGTTGTGCTGTCCTCTGAAGATGCTGGCCACAGAGACTGGCAAAACGTTAGGAAGAACAACCTTCAGAACACGGCCAAAGAGCCCAAAAAACCCACAACAACCAATTTCCTGGTTCATTCTTAGCTTTGTGCCCATCTCTAGTCATTTTCAGTTTCAAGACGGTGGCTGTGATGTCTGCTTGATTTTGGGAGCTGTGGTACAAAAGAGCAGCTTCTCAAAATTCTGTTACAGATTATACTATCATACTTTACTCAACATCTGGAAGTTGAGTCGTGGCAACTAAAAAACCCACAACAACCAATTTCCTGGTTCATTCTTAGCTTTGTGCCCATCTCTAGTCATTTTCAGTTTCAAGACGGTGGCTGTGATGTCTGCTTGATTTTGGGAGCTGTGGTACAAAAGAGCAGCTTCTCAAAATTCTGTTACAGATTATACTATCATACTTTACTCAACATCTGGAAGTTGAGTCATGGCAACTAGAATTTTTTTCTTGATAGGTTGAAATGTTTCACTTCAAGAAAGAAGTCCAGTTGCCATGACTCAACTTCCAGATAACCAGACCTAGGTGACTGAGAATTTTCACAGATATTTTACTCAACATGTTTGGTGAAATCCTGGAATCAGTCATGAAATCAATGTTCTCTTCTCTGTTTATCTAATACATTGGTGCCTTGCTTGACGACGTTAATTTGTTCCAGCAAAATCGCTGTAGAGCGAAAACGTCGTGAAGCGAAATAAAAAAGCCCATTGAAATGCATTGAAAACTGTTCAATACATCCCAATGGGCTGAAAACTCACCGTCCAGTGAAGATCCTCCATGGGGCGGCCATTTTCCATGCCTGTGCAGTGAGGAATCTGTCCCTAAGCACAGCGGGGGGCCATTTTGAAACCCAGCGATCAGCTGTTTTTGATTGTCGTAAAGCGAAAATCGGTTCCCAAAGCAGGGAACCGATCAGCGCAAAGCGGAAAAAACCCATTCAAACCATTGTTTTGCGATCGCAACAACCTCACCATCAAGCAGATTCGTCGTTAAACAGGGTAATTGTAAAGCGGGGCACGACTGTATAGTCTAGCTGGGAGCATCATGTGGGGAAATTTTCATTCTGTAGGCAAGAGTATGAAAAAAAGAGAAGGGAAATGCCACTTGAGCTAGGAAACTGACAAAATCAGGAGATGTCGATTGCTTCATTTTTTCACACTGGCAATATTTAATATATGACAGTATGAAGAGAGAAGGCACAGATAGAAGAAAAACAAAAGAGAGACCTATCTCAAATGCCTGTGATGTTTTATTAATTCTAACACATTTGGGATTGTGCATTTCTCCTTCAGAGCCTTTTGAAATAAGAATTAAAAAGGCATCACTATATCTAATGCATATGCGTGATCATATCCTAACTCCTACATGTCCAGTACTGTCAAGCGGTGGCAGATACAACATGCTGCTGTCACATCTCGTTTAATACTCACCTTATGTGTCAGATTCTGTCAAGTACTGAAAGCAGACCAGCTGCCAAATATTGTCAAACTGGGTATAATGCCAGTTATTGCCACATATTGACTGTTGCAGCATTCCAATATTCACATATTAACAGATATGGATGACTGCTACCATCAGCTATCCCGAAAACACTTCAGCAGTTCATTGGCCTGTTTAGATATGTGTTACAATGAGTCTGTTCCTTTCCATGAGCTCCTGCAGAAGTTCTGTTTTTAAAACCTTACTGAGTGCTTCACAACGAAATAACAAAAGACAATCCCATGTTGCTACTCAGGAGCAAGGAGGAGAAATAACAGCAGAGTTCCTGGAAAGATTGTACATTTTCTCCCTGATGTGGAGCATTGGAGCATTGCTGGAATTAGAAGACCGCCGAAAGATGGAGAACTGGCTTCGTGGCCACGAGACCATAAAACTGGACCTTCCCACTATACCAGAAGGAAGTGAAGACACTATGTTCGACTACTATGTTACCAGTGATGGTCAGTGGACTACTGAGAACTTGTAATGTGTGAGCATGAGTAAACAAGGCAGTTTCTGGGTTTCAAAGTTTGATGGAGGTCATATCCTGCTGTTGGAGACTGATTGAATCCCATATGGAACTGAGGAGACTTCAGCATTTAAAACACTGGTGTCACTTTCACTTTTCCTCTCTAGTCTTGCATCTTCTCAGTTCTAAGATACTAGTTGAAATGCTGAAGCAGTAAGTGGTCCTTACTCAACCTGCTGGCCCCCTGTTTCGTTGTGGAATTATGGCCCTTGTACTTAGGATTGCTGGACTGGCACTCAAGTCCAAAACCTGAGACCCGAGGGGTAGATTCTCGTGATAGTACAGGGGTAGGGCTGGCAAGGGTTGAGGAGTGGAACTTGTTCTGCGCCACCTAACTGTAGAAAGGGGTAGAAGGGGAATCTGAGTAAATGAGGCTGGAATTTGGGCTAAGCCCAGTTATTCTGGTGAAACCATTTTTTGTTGGTTTGCTTTGGACAAAATGAACCCTGTAGCTACAGTGGTTACTGCTATTCCCACCTGGGTTTACATGCACTGGGCTTGTGGGGAAGTCTTGCCAGACCCTAGGGTTTTCTTTCTTTCTTTTAAGCTTTGTGCTAGGACTGATGCTGTTTTGCATAGGGATTGTAATAATCCTCTGAGGAATTATGCTTCTTTCAGGAAAAAAACAACTAAAGAATTCCATGTGATTTCTCAAAATAACACCAACACCTCATGCCCCAGAAACAATAATTTGTGACTGAGAAGGAGTGGCGTGAAATCCCCCTTTTAATAAATATATCTCCCATTTTATACTGGGTGTCTGTCAGCTTATATTATCAATGCCTTTTCTTCTGGTTAGGAAAATGGATGCATTGGAATACTTGTGTTGAAGAATATGTTTATCCTGCCAGCAGCACTCCAGAGTATGGTTCTATCTTGGTGCCAAATGTTGACAATGTCAGAACAGATTTCCTTATCCAAACTATTGCAAAACAAGGAAAGGTAATTCTTAACCATCTTATACTGGGACATTCCCAAGCTTTTCAGGGCTTTGTGGAAAAGCTTGGGAAAGCCAGGTTGCTTCATTTTGATGATATGGCTGGTTTTATAGTGACCTTTTAGTGCCATTGTATTAAATTTGAAGGTGAGGGCTAATGATGTTCATAACACATTTTGCTGAGGCTTATTAGGAATTTGATTGTGGCTGTTCCACATAGAAATCAACACATGATGCAAAAATCTAGATTTGAATCTGATGAAGGATGAGTGAAAACTGGTGGAAGAAATGTCAGTAATTTAAGATATGAAGGTAATACTGCACTATTGGCAAGAAACAACAATGAATGGAACTGCTGATGAAGTTTTAAAAAGAAGTTGTGAAAGCTGGATTATAGCTGAACATTAAGAAGACAGAAATGATGGCAACAAGAGAATGACATTACTGTGTGTATGACAATGATGAAATTGAAAGTGTTAAAAGGTTTTATATACAGTACCTTGATTCAAGCCTCTGTAATAATAGAGACTGCAGCTAAGAAGTCAGAAGGAGACTGACACCTAGAAAGGCAGATGTGAAAGAACTAGAATATAGTGAGGAAGTGCCATTGCAGACTAAGGCCAAGGTCATTCATAACATGGTATTCCTGGTCCATTACTATGTCCATATGTGAAAGCTGGAGAACGAAAAAAGGTGACAAGTAAAAATTAATCCATTTGGAATGTGGTAAAGTCAGGAGAACTGTATGGAGAACATGGGCCAGCAGAAAGACAAATACGTGGGTATCTAGAGTAAATGACTAAGCTAAAATGACTAAACAGAAATGATTGTACTTTGGATATATCAGCCGCAATCACATTGGACAGGATTCTCCAGTGCACTGAAAATAATCTTTGGCAGCAGTCAACTGCTGCTATCAAAGCCCTCCTTTTGCAATTTTGAGTTGTATGTGACTTTGTTCCATTGTGTGCCAGTGTTCTGTACCCTGCAAAAGGAAAGGAAATTGCAAAAGGAAACTTCAACCAGCGGCAGGCTTCCACTACCAATGAAATATTTCCAGTTGTGCAGATGGAGCAACACTACAGGATTTTAGCCACTATCAAAGGACCAGACTTGCTGGAAAAGACATTAATGCTAGGAAAGGTGGAAGGTAGGGGGGAAAAAAGTGGAGGACTGCAGCTTTTAATTTACAAAACTGGAGCAGAGCTACTAATGAGAAGAGCTTTTGGGGGTCATTAATTCACAATAGTTGCCATAAATTGTAAGCACCTTGATGGCACATAATGGTAGTTCTACTCTCTTTGCAGTGATCAGGCTGTAGGGGGAGCTTTGTACCTAATTCTGGGTTCAAAGTTTTAAGAAGTTAGAAGTGTTTTAATAAACTGGGATGTAGCCAGTTTAGAGCCTGGAAAGTTCTTCTTCTTCTTTCTTTAAATTATTGTATAAGTATCTACAAAGCCAAAAGGCTGGCATATTTTGAGAAATGTAGTATAAAGCAGCAATTTTTATAATTTATTACTCTTCTCATTGCAAACCTTTATTCCCATGTTATGTTACTGGTTCTGCTACTGGTTACAGATAGATACAACCAAAGTAAATTAGCAGTATTGCAAATTATATCATCTTTCTTGTCTGAAAAGAAAAGTCTATGTGGCCATTTTACACAATTTGAAGATAAGATTGAGTTCTTAGTTAGCTGTGTGCTGTCAAGTTGGTACTGGTCTATAGTGACCATAATAGGGCTTTCAAGGTATGTAAGATATTTAAGGAATGATTTTGCCAGTTCCGTGCCTCCAGTGAGTTTCCATGACCACGTCTGGATTTGAACCCTGATCTCTAGAATCCTAGTTCATCACTCTATCCAGTAGACCAGTGGTCCCCAACCTTGGGCCTCCAGATGTTCTTGGACTTCAACTCCCAGAAATCCTGGCCAGCAGAGGTGGTGGTGAAGGCTTCTGGGAGTTATAGTCCAAGAACATCTGGAGGCCCAAGGTTGGGGACCACTGCAGTAGACCACACTGGGTTCCCTCATACACTTATTAGAGCACTAAAAATTCCAAATACAAGTTAGCTTTTGACTTTGTAGGAGTCTTTATTAGGTTGGGCATTGCAGAATTGTTCTTGGTGGTGCAGGAGAAACATAAAATTTCCGAAATCCACAGCCAAATGTGGGGTAAATTTCAGATTTCACCTCTGTTGGTGTGGATTGTTATGTCTCTCCCAATCTTGTTACACAATCTTGTTACACATTCGAATCCACACCATCGGAGGTGAAATCTGAAATCTGCCACTTCTGAACTTACGTCTTCAGACCCCATTTTGCGACTTGCTTTAAACAAGGAACCTGATCCACTCACTGGAAATGCCCTGACTGACGAAGAATTGAGCAGAGGCAAAAGCTAGCTTATGCTTGTGATTTTTCAGTGGTGTAGTAAATGTATCATCCACTGTAATCTTCAGATTGCATATTTCATGTGAAAGTTATCGTTTTCACACTTCTCCCTAATTACCTGAGATGAATAATTTTGAGAATGGGGTCTTTGCCAAGATTTTTGGCTTTCATATCCCTAAACTCATTTTGAATTCTCATGTTTCAGGCAGTGCTGCTAATTGGTGAACAAGGGACGGCTAAGACTGTCATCATCAAAGGATACATGTCGAAATATAATCCTGAAAGTCACATGGCCAAGAGTCTGAACTTCTCATCAGCAACAACTCCTTTCATGTTTCAGGTAAAACTCAAAAATGATCTTTCCCCAAAGTGAATGTAAAGCTAGCCTTTTGGTTTATTGACAATACATTGGGAAGAGATTAATTAAGAACATTTTATGACATAGCAAAGGCTGTGCACTCTTATTCTTTGGCCTTTGATGGCAAAATGGTCATTCTCTTGGGATTCCGTTTCTTCCTTGCTCATATCATTTTAAGGCAAACAATTTTAGGAAACTCCTGTGTCTTAAATCTCTTGCAGGTCTTGTCTCGTTCTCATGTCCTAGGGCTTTCTTGGAATGAATGTCAGTGAAATGAAATCTCATTAAGCCCCCCATTAAAATAGGTAGAAGTATAGACAAGAAAGCAATTAGATACCAGCCATAAAAGTTAGAGTATTGCAGGGAAAAATAACACAAACATATATATATATATGTTTGTGCATTATATATATATATGCATATATATATGCATTACTTTCAGCTTCTTATGCTTGGAGCATGACCCTTATCTTCATCCAAATGAACTCACATGGCAGGTGCTTGTAGGTGCATGCCCATTGTAGTCAGATTGTTGAAATAAACAGATTTTTTTTTTTCATTGAGGAGAGGATAAAGAACATGTAAGAAAATCAGAACCTCAAGGGGTTTTTTATATCTGTGATGGGTGTAAATCCCAGATATTGATAAATATGGAAATGTTGTTATACTTTGATTTGCAGCCTAACTTTGCATGTGTCTATTCAAAAGTATATTAGAGTGAACTCAGTAGCCCTTCATCCCACATCAGTATGTATAGATTTTCAACGTTAGGGCTCAGTTCTGAAACAATGCTGACTGGCTGATGGTTTCCGGATTTAGTGGAAGGCCCATTATGCAAGTGAGATATAGGCTATGCTAATGGAGAACCACATAACCTATTTTGCCTGCATAGCTGTTCCAAGACCTGGCGCTGAACATTTTACCAGCCACATACTTCAGTAGTAGGGAAAGAATAGTTTAAAAGGCTTTTCCCACATCAACAATAATCCCGCTTATGTTGCCATGACAGGGCATAGGACAGGGGGCAGATCAGCATCTTTTGGTAGCGTTTCTAAGAGTAAGTCCACTAATGTGTCCTGAAAAATCCTGAAATAGAATTTCCGATTGAATATGATGCTATACTTAATATAAACCGCATTGTGCATACTACCCACATGTGATTTTATATTTCTCAGTGTTCTTTGTTTCAAGCAAACTGTATGCAATGGTTGTTGTAGGTTTTTTTGTGCTATTTGGCTGTGTTCTGGAGAATGGTTCTCCAGAACATGGCCAAACAGCCCGAAAAACCTACAACAACCTTTGGATGCCAGCTGTGAAAGCCTTCGAGAATACATTGAAACTGTATGCAGTTGACATTTTATAATCAATAAATTATAAAATGAGTTTTTTTCTAAACAAACATGTTTTTCTTAACAGCGCACCATAGAAAGTTATGTGGACAAGCGAATGGGCACAACATATGGCCCTCCTGCTGGAAAGAAAATGACAGTCTTTATTGATGATGTGAATATGCCTGTGATCAATGAATGGGGAGACCAGGTCAGGCAGATGAATATTAGTGCCATGTAATACAGTATCTTGATTTAGGTATTTCTATGTGGCTTAGATAATGTAAAGCTGGTTATTTTATTGAGATCATTGTTTAAGTAGTCACCTTCCCCCAAATAAGAACCAACATAGTGAATAATGGTAGTCATGAAAGAATAGACAAAATCTAAAGAAAGCTGTATCAGCAGTACCTCCATGGTAGCACTATTTAATGTTGGGGATTATGTAAATATTAGCAGTGGAGACGGGATTTTAAAGATAGTGTTGCCAAGGATGGAAAATGTCCTCTTTTAACCAAACAGGGGAAATGTGTATTGTCAAAATAATATTATTTTATGATAATAACAGATGTAAGTTCAAGAAGTAATTTCAAAAACTCTTGAGGAAAAAAAATAAACGTTTATCAGTTTTTAAAAGTGTGGAGAATGTAATGTTCCACAGAATCTGTGCTGCTGCTCTACTAAGATAATCTGCTGTATAAACTTGAATTTGTACTTGGATGGATGATTGGTTTCCTCCAAACCCCAATTACTTCCTTTGCAGGTAACCAATGAGATAGTCAGGCAATTGATGGAGCAAAATGGGTTCTATAATTTGGAGAAACCTGGAGAATTTACCAACATTGTGGACATCCAGTTCTTGGCTGCTATGATCCATCCTGGTGGTGGACGCAATGACATCCCTCAGAGGCTGAAGAGGCAGTTCTCTGTGTTTAATTGCACTCTGCCTTCCAATTCATCCATCGACAAAATTTTTGGTAATGTGAAACAGACCTTTCAAAAACTTTGCTATGCGGATGTGGTCACTGGGATTTGCTTTGATTTGATGACGAATATAAGAGGCCAAATCTCCTGGATTTATGTTAGTGATATATCTCCAGTTAATATTTGTTCCCTTTTCTTTGTTAGCATCATGGGTAGCGTTTTTCCTGCTTCCTCAAGGGATTTGATTTTTGATGTTGTTGTTGGTAGTACATCCACAAAAATATAAGAAGAGGCTGCTGGATCAGGCCTAAGGACTATCTAGTCCAACGTTCTGCTCACTCAGTGGCCGACCAGTCACCCAGTGCAATGATGTGGGCGAAACTGCACCCTGCATACTGCCTCTGGCATTGGAGATGACACATACTTGTCCTGACAAGTAGCCCCTGATAGCCCTAACCTCCATGATTTTTTTTTCCAGTATCATTTTAAAGCAAATTAAAATTCTTGTTGTGCCATGCTATTGTCTACACTGCACAGATTGATTGGAGAAGTGACACTCTGGGATGCATTAATTTTTCAAGCAGTCTGACTGTGTTTTACTAGGTGTGATTGGCACAGGACACTACTGTAGTCAGAGGGGCTTTCTGGAAGAGGTGAGAATAACCATTGCTAAGCTGGTACCACTGACACGAAGGCTGTGGCAACTGACCAAGACCAAGATGCTGCCAACACCAGCTAAATTTCATTATGTGTTCAATCTCCGAGATCTTTCCAGGATTTGGCAAGGAATGCTTAACACCATCTCAGAAGTAATCAGCGAATCTAATGTAGGTGGCAAATTGAGTACCTTCATATATTAGCCATTGTAATCATAATCTTTGTGATGCAGTGCACATCATTCCCCATTTGGTTGCATGTTGATGACAGTAGGGAGGGAACTGAATGGTGGACAGCCCCAGAAATAATTCATCCCTTTGGAAAGCATTGTTAAAATTTGCAAATGACGAAATGAGATCATTTCACAGTAAGTTTATGACAAATGATCCAAACACTTGTAGGTACTAAAACCAATTAGAAAGAGGAAGGGGAGGAGAAAAGAAAGTTGGTAGAGGTGTTATGCATCTTGTTTCTCCCCATTTTTTCTCTGATGCAGAAGAGGCAAACTAAAATTTTACTGGAAAATGTTTTTACATTTTGGTGTAAGGTAAAGCTAAAGGTCCCCCTTGACAATTTTTGTCCAGTCGTGTTCGACTCTAGGGGGCGGTGCCCATCCCCATTTCCAAGCCATAGAGCCAGCGTTTGTCTGAAGACAATCTTCCGTGGTCACATGGCCAGTGTAACTTAGACATGGAACGCTGTTACCTTCCCACCAAGGTGGTCCCTGTTTATCTACTTGCATTTGCATGCTTTCGAACTGCTAGGTTGGCAGGAGCTGGGACAAGCAGCGGGAGCTCACTCCATCACGTGGATTCGATCTTACAGCTGAAGATCTACAGACCTTACAGCACGCAGGCTTCTGCAGTTTAACCCGCAGCGCCACCACGTCTACTACATTTTGGTTAGAGACAGTTTAATATCAGCTCAGAAACAAGGCACGTCTGAGATTAAGAAACTGTCCCTGTGGCAAGGATACAGGATATATTATAGAGTATATACAAAATCTATTTAACTTTTCATAATAACCACCAGCTATTGTATAAAACAATTGATTAGAAATAGGAACTCCTGAAGAAAAGTAACATATAAGCAGATGTAAGACAGGATCAGTGGCAACCTATGTCCTTTAAATCAGTAGCTTTCCATTTTTGTTTTCCCAAAATGTGTTGACTTCAACTCCCAGAAGTCTTAAGCTCATATGTCCAATGGTCAGGAATTCTGGGTGTTGAAGAACTTTAAGAAGGCCAAGTAGTTGAGAATCACTGGTCTAAAAGATGCGTCCGAGTTTATCTTCCATATGGAAAACTTATATGGAAATCAGCCTCATAGGAGGAATGGATTTGTTGCAACATGTTCTTGAACAACATTCAGCTACCTACTAAAATTTTGTGGAGAGCTGTATATATTTGCAAACTGTAAAAAAACCTGTGGTGCAAAGCAATATCCAACATTTTGTCTGTTTGCCCCTGAATAGGTGCTCATAAAACTATGGAAGCATGAATGTAAGCGTGTTATTGCCGATCGTTTCACAACCCCTGAGGATGTTGCTTGGTTTGATACAGCATTAGCAAAACTGGTTGAAGAAGAGTTTGGTGCTGAGAAAAAAGCACTAGTAGATCCACAGACTGATGCTTACTTTGTGGACTTCTTAAGAGATGCACCTGAAGCAACAGGTAGAAATGTAAAATGAAAACTGGATGTCTGACTGGATCAGTGAATTAGTGGAGATGTTTATAGGGTGACCCAGTATAGAAGAGTTGAGTACAATGAGAAGAGAAGAGAGCATTGGGCATGAGGAAGCAGGGAAGAAGAGCAATTATTTGACAATATTTATATTCTATATTGTACCTTATGAACTAGGACCTATAATGTTCTAAAGTTGTCTTTCCTTTCCATTGGAAAAAGTAGTAAGGAAAGGCACATTCTCAGTGCATAGACAATTGCAGCAAATAATGGTGGTTTCACTCCATGCTGTATTTTCTACATAGCACTCATTCCAGAAGGAACATAGGCTTTAGTAATAGACAGCAGGAGAAAAGCAAAGACTGGAAAGGAACGCTGTACCATTGATAGGTTAATGCTTCTGCTTGCTAATACAGTATGAGTAGTTAATACTAACTTTATGAGTAAAATACTTCAACTTTGCCTAATTCTGTTCTGCCAGTTCATTGGTGACTTGGGTCTAAACTGTGCACACTTTCAGAATGCACTTTTATTGTGGCCTTGGAATGTTTGGTTCACTGAAATCTGCAGGAGATCTAGATGTCCTCATGTTGCAGTCCTCCTCTCTTTCCCCATCATCTTTGTTGTCTTTTGTTTCATACCAAAGAAAATCTTTCAAGGAAAAACTGGAATAACTGCCCAGTGGTTTTACAGCTATGAGCAAAATAATCCAGCAGTACCATGAATTTGCAGTGCTTATGGTACATGGTCAACTGCTGCTGTTGTAGTCTAGGTGGGCATGCACCAAAAGTCTGCATTGCCCAGATCATCTTTCTGTGACACAGTGGGGAGCCTCTGCCCTCCAGATGATGTTGGACTGCAGTTCTTTTCCAATCCTATCAAGGATAGCAATTGCTGGGGGATGTTGGAGCTGCATTTCGGCAGAATCTAGAAGGCCAGGAAAGTGTAAAAAGCCCAACATCATCAATGATAACTGATAGGAATGGTAATTCAGACCTGTAAAAATGATGGAAGAAATAAGAGCGAAATTGTACAACGTCTGTTCACATGAGCTTTCATTAACCTTGGATACTTTTTATAACCTCAGTCTACTACTGTGTGTTTGTACTCTCTGCTTCTTATTCCATTTATGAAACCACCTCCTGCTTCTAAAGTAAGAGTGACCCCAAATAATACGTATGGTGAAGTTAAATGTGATTGAATGAGAATGGAGTCTGAGATGGGAGTTTTCATTCTATGTGTAATTGCTTAGATGCATCTCTCTGCAGATCTGATGGGACTGATCACCAGATCAGACATGTATGGGCACACATTCTGTGTTACCCAGGCTGCTGTGTTTAACAATCCTGCTAAAATCTGTGCTGGTGTAAGACAGTGTCCTATATATTGCTTGACAAACCTGAATAGTTCTAGAAGTAGATAAATGGAGGAGTAACAATAAAAAGTATGGAAAAAGAATGTTAGTTTTTTCTTTTTCCTAAAAAAGAAATATATCTTATTTCAAACTAGGTCTGGAAAAGGAAAAATCTCTGAAAGGTAAGATGTAGATGCCTGAGCCAGCTGGAATATGCAAATATTATAGGCTTAAAAGGGGGGGAGGTGGCGGTTAGGTTGGGTTGTGCACTCATCTATGCATGTTTATTTCTACAGAAGTCAGAAGCATGTGTTATCTTTCACATGATGGTGGCCTCAATTATTTATTGCTTTAAATAGAATGGCAGTTGAATAGGAAGTAACTTAAGCGAATAGCATGCTTGGCTGACACAACCTTCATTTTAATTGCTGAAACTGCAGTCCAACAGCACTGCAATTTAGGCACTGATAAATTTTTGCTTCATAAATAAATTTTCCCCACATAGGTAAAGGTAATTGCTAAAAAACATTTCTCACACTGAATAAAAATCATGTATTCTTGCAAGCCATGAAATATTCCCTGAATGCCATTTTACGAGAGCCTTTCCTATGTCATAAAATTAAAATAGTATGGTGTAGCTTACCTAATTTTGCAGTATCAAAGTTTAAAAGCTGTTTAAATAATAGCATGAAATGCTTGTTTCAGCTTTTGAGATGAACTTAAGTGTTCAATTAACAGTAGTTCTAGCATTCTTTTGCATGCTTCAAAAGCTAGTAATTATTGGTTTTTATTTTCATTTACTGTTTATAGGAGAGCATACCTTCTGCTTTTATTTAAACCCATTTATGCTAAAACAGTAAGTTTTAAAATGCAAAAGAGTAAGTAGTATATAGAGAGAGGGCTGAACATCTTGCAGATATGTCTTGCCTTGAACTTATTTAGTCTGCCCAGAAAGAGACTTCAATTCATTGCCTTTATTTCTGAGCTTTGCCTTGGTATTCAGTAACTCATTCCACGAATGATGACATTTTGAAGCAGGTGGTGCTGTAAAAGTGAATAAAACATAAAGCAGAATTTGTGAACTCTTCCATGTAGATGTGAACCACAGAAATGCAATATGAAATAATCATTCACCATGAAATCCTTCAAAACTGTCCAGCCTTTCCCCTTTAAACGGAGCAATTTTTTAAAGCTTTACTAATTAAAATAATTATGTGACTAGGAGACATTAATGCCTCTACAGGCTCTGCTGATGTTTCTCCATCCCCTACAGGTCACCCATAATTTCATATGAACTCTACTTTTTAACATTTTATGTTGTATTGTCCAGTTAGCGTTCAGGTTGTCCCATCCCTTCACCAACCTGGCCCTTGTTCCCTGGCAAAACCCATCTCTGCAATTCCTAAAGAATGAACTGGACCTCATTACTGTACTGTGAAAGAACTAGTACGGTGTGTCACTGCTTAACATATTGAAGGCTAGTGGTGTATTTCTTAGTTCAGCAAGGCAAAAAAAAATCTTATAGTTAGAAGATGTACATAACAGAACTATGAGTAAAGACCAGATCTTGCTCCTAATTTGAAGTATAAATGATGTCTAACTTTTGATCACAGGAGAGGAACCAGAAGAAGCAGAAGTTGACATGCCAAAAGTATATGAACCCGTTGAATCTTTTGATCAGCTGAAGGACCGCTTGAACATGTTCTTACAAATATACAATGAAAGCATCCGCGGGGCAGGAATGGACTTGGTGTTTTTTAAGGATGCAATGATTCATTTAGTAAAGGTACTGGTGGGCCTGGCAAATGCTTTAACTTAGATATTAGGAAAATTTTAAAGTGAGTTGGGCAAAACTTGCCTCAGCTCTCTCTCTCTCCCCCCCTCTCACTCACCCACACACACACAACCACACACACAAACACACACACACACACAGAGAGAGAGAGAGAGAGAGAGAGAGAGATGACCTACAGATATGTATGATCTCAAGAAATTAATAGGCTAGATTTTTCTGGATCAGGCTGCAGTATCTGAAAGTCTCCAGAAGATGCTGCTGGTGCAACAGCTCTTTTATTTTTTTATTGTTAAATTTCTAGATTTCGAAATGGAGGATATTACAAGTAAATGCCTGGTGGTTCTGACAGGTCTCTAACACATCTAAGTCCCAAGTTGTCCCTTGAGAACTAAATTGCCCTACTGTGAGCTTAAGGAACTGAAGTGATATAAAAGATAAATCCATCTGTTGTGGAAGCATTCCTTTCCTCCTTTTATATAGCATTCCCTTATATAGCGATAGAGTAAAATATATAGCTCTGCATCCCTGCTGAAAATCTATCATAACAAGATACCATGCAATCCAGGTGTGGCTTAGATACCTTCCAGCCCAACCACAATTACATGTAGGACAGCTGCTGCCCTGATAATCTGTTAGAAATTGAAGAAATGTGTCAAATTTAGGAACTAGTACTCAAGCAAAGGGGTTATCCAGACACCTTACTTTAAATATTCATTTTGAGATTTACCTTTTTTTTTTAAAAAGCTGCCCTGATAATCTGTTAGAAATTGAAGAAATGTGTCAAATTTAGGAACTAGTACTCAAGCAAAGGGGTTATCCAGACACCTTACTTTAAATATTCATTTTGAGATTTACCTTTTTCTTTTTTTTTTTAAATGCTAGTCAGTACAAGAACAGAATTATGGATAAAACACATGCATGCAATATAGACTGCAAATTGGTAGAGTTACCAAGTTATGCCAGAAGCATTCCATTCTTGGTTTGGAGTTGCAGGATGAGCTGGACTGACTCTGCCATTTGGCACAGTGTGATGGTTGCAGATATTATGGTGATGACAACAAACAGTCCTCTGTTTATCTTCTTCTTTTGCACTGCCGCCAGCCATTCCCATCCTTTGACCAAATCTTTGCTTGAAGTCGGCTTGAGCTTTTATCTTGCTTAATTGCCTTTTCACAACACATCCCACACAGTGTTTTGGGGCAGTGGTTCTTAACCTTGGGTAACCCAGGTGTTCTTGGACTGCAAATCCCAGAAGCCCCAACCAGCATAGCTGGTGGTGAAGGCTTCTGGGAATTGCAGTCCAAGAACACCTGGGTTACCCAAAGTTAAGAACCACTGTTTTGGGGAATGGGCTTCTGACTGAGCAAGGAGACAAGAGAGGCAGCCAGCCTAGATTGTGCATTCCAGATGACACTGCAGACATTATGCACTCTGCCATGGCTGTTGCTGAACCACAGCCTTGTTTTGAGTGGGCAGTAATTAGAATAGTTAGCAAGTGCTGGCAAGATAAGACATACAATAACTATGCCTTGGAGCCCTCTTTGCTACCATTAAACTAGCCTGATGCCTCCAGTCATGGTGGAAGATCCTACTTGATTGCCTGTTTTGAAGTAAGATTTAATTGCTAGTTTGTTTGGCTTCTCTGCATGGAGCAGGAGAGAGGATACCATCTTGTCCATCTTCTCAGGCAGCACAGGGCCTTTGGCCAGCCTTGGAGTTTAGGCTGCCTCAATAAATGGTTGAAGCAAGACCTGCAGAATCATCAAGGTCTTGATAACATCCAAGAACCCATTGCAAATGCTGTTTACTTTTTGGTGGTTCACAAGGTATATTTAACAGAAACGTTCCTGTGTTCTGCAGATCTCTCGTGTAATCCGGACGCCTCGTGGGAATGCTCTGCTTGTTGGTGTTGGTGGATCTGGAAAGCAGAGTTTGACAAAATTGGCATCATTCATAGCTGGCTATGATATGTTCCAGATCACACTGACCAGGTGCACAATACGTTGAACATTTATTTAAGTATTTAGAATAGTGGTTCATGTGCGGAACATGTTATCTATAGTGTTAAGATTGCTTAGCAACAGAAAATAAGAGCATTCTCTGTCCTTTTACTTCTGTTCTTCCAGATAAAGAGGAATACAGGGTTAAAACCTTGTAAAATTATTCTTTTGCCCTGCAGCCTTCAGAATCTCCAATAATCATGGCCATTGGCTTTGGGATTCTGGGAGGTTTTGTTCAAAAAAGCAACATTTCCAAGCTCTGAGGAGCCCCATACATACCTGAGACAACAGCAGACACTGTAAAAACAATTCATCTTAGCTCCAAAGCCATTTCCAATCTGGATTTGCTAATACTTTTACGAAAATTATTAGTCTACTATTTTGTTTTGTTTTACTTATTGTTTACAAAGATGCTTGCCTTTGTAATTCACCAGGTGGGGTGCAGAGTGGTGAGATAGGTCTTTTGTAAATACAAAATGTAATAGAAAGAGTAAAACAGCCACATCTCCTATCTTGATCTAATGTCAAAAGGAACTTTATTTACCTCCATCTCTGAGCAGAGAAATGTGTAAGAGAAGTTTTTTGACCATTTTATAGACTGAAAGGATTTTGATCAGCATTTTTCTTTATATACATAAAAATATATTTCTATATATAAACAATATATATTCTTGTACGTAGAAGGGCTTTGCAGCTAAGGTGGAATTCCGTCTTTTTGCCTTCCTTCCTTCTTTCCTCCCTTTTGGGGAAGGGGTAGTCATCAAATACTGGATAACTCTGGCTCATTGTCTTTTTGCAGATTCACCACCATGGCTCTTTAATTCATACTGCAGCACATTTTGACTTTCAAATAAGATCATAGCTTGTGTCCACATTTACACTCAGACACAGAAGAGCATATGGTAACACTGCTACCATGTCATCCTGCCGAGCTTTTGGAAGAGCGAAAATAAAGACCTGCCACAAATTTCCAGTCTTGTTATAGCTGCCCCTTCCACCAACCTCCAACTGTGTAACCAGAAGTTTTGTGACACAGTCCTCCCCCACCTCAGCTTTGTAGGCCTTCTTACTCAGTAACAGATTGACAAACTGGCGATGATCTTTCAGTCTGTGCAAATGGCATGAAGAAAATTCTCTATGAGTTGCACAACTTGACAATGATTAATTAGTATCCTGCCTTTCTCCCACCAAAGACTGGCACCCAGGGTGGTTTACAGTATTAATTTAAAAAAAACCAAATACAATTAAAATAAAACACCTTGTAAGCATTAAAACATAATTAAATCAGTTATGGTAAAACTGTTGTTGAATATATTTTAAAAACATCTCAGAAAGAATAACAAATTATCATTAAACAATAGAAAACTGCAGCATCTCCTTTAGAACCCCTGTCCTTACCATTCAATCAGTTATCAAAGGCTTCCCTGAAAAGAGAAGATAGTGTGTACCAGCAGGAGGACGACAACACAGAGGTGATGAACCTAGCTTCCTTTGGCTTAGAGTGTTATAGTATTGGAGTGCTCATATATTCTCATACCAAACATGCCTCTGAAGGTGGTGAGGACAGAGAGAAATGCCTCTCCAGTATATTGCAAAGCCCAGGCTGCCTTGTATAGGAGAATACAGTCTTTCAATTCACCTGGACTCAACCTGCCTAAGGCTTTACGGGCCATAACTAGCACTTGAAATTGTGCCCAAAGAGGGCTTAATAACAAATTAAGATGCAACAGGGAACATATATGTTTCCTAGTATAACCAGGTCTGGTCAGGACTCTGGCTACAGCAGTTTGGAGCACCTGAAGAGTCTCCAAAGGAAGCTTCGTGTTGACCATGGTACAGTGATCCAAAGAGGATTAAAACACATGTCCTCGTAGCCAGATCACACAAATCCAGAAATGGATTTAGATGGTATATTAGCTTTAATTGTTTAAATCCACTTCTGGCAACCAAAACCTTGGAATCCAAGCCCAGGCCTGAATTCAGGAGTACTCCCAAATGAGAAATTAGCATCTTCAATGAGCATGTAACTCCAGTCAGCATAGATTGAATCCCTATTCTCTAATCTGTTTTTCAGTTGACCAGGAACATGACTGGATTAAGCTTCAGTTAAATAGTAAGGAGCATTAAAACTGAACTAAACCCCTAGACACTGAGGGATAAAACACTAAAGCTACAATCCTATGTCTACTCGGGGACTGAGTCAACCCTTCTGTCCCTGCTACTCATTGTGGACCTCAGAAGCAGCTGTTCAGATGGTTCCACATGGCCCTAGAATTCACTGTCTGAGTAGCACCAATAAAGCACTTGGTGTTGAGGCCATTACTTGTTGGCATTATCTTCCCATTTATATCAGGCAAGGATCTGCAGTCTTGGACATCATTTTAGTGTTCTTTTCAATGAAACTTTCTCTGATGTATGGGATAAGACTCTTACAGTTTCATTATTGCTCTGCAAAAATTATTATTGTTTATTATATTTAAGTAAAGGTAAAGGTTCCCCTTGACATTTTAGTCAGTTGTGTTTGATTCTAGGGGGCAGTGCTCATCCAGTAGAGCCAGCGTTTGTCTGAAGACAGTTTCCGTTGTCACGTGGCCAGCGCGGCTATACATGGAATGCTGTTTACCTTCCCACCAAGGTGGTACCTATTTATCTACTCACATTTACATGCTTCGAACTGCTAGGTTGGCGAGGAGCTGGGACAAAGCGACGGGAGCTCACGCCGTCATGTGGATTCGATCTTATGACTGCTGGTCGTCTGCCCCTGCAGCACACAAAGGCTTCTGCGGTTTAGCCCACAGCGCCATCACGTCCCACTTATTATATTTACCATTGGCTATATTTCTGTGGTGCCTTTCCTCCAGTGAGCACAAGGCTATGTACATGGTTGTTTTCCTCTATGCTATAGTTGCACATCAGGCCAGCTCAACAGAACATATTTTCTGTACAGTTCTGTTTAGAACCATATTGCAAGCTTGTCCGTTCTATATGCATATTATATGTAAGTTTGAATAAAACTGAAAATGCTGGAATTTACTTCTGTGTAGCCCTGCCTAGAATTGCACCATGTAACCAAAAGCACAAGACATTAAATAGGAGGTGAGTCTCAGAAAGGTGTGATTATACAGCTAGGGAAATGCAAATTCAGTCATATTCACTCATTGTGAAGCCACACCAGGGAATTTGGGACTGTGTAATTTAAGTGGCCACACAGGAGAAAGCCCTCCAAATGTTCTTAACCTGCAAAACAAACAAACAAACAAAAAAACAACAACGAGGAATCTTGCCTTAGCCCTTTCTTTCCAAGCGAGCATTCTGACCCAGAGAATTCTTCACCACAGGAGCAGGAGTGAACTGTGTAATTTAAGTGGCCACACAGGAGAAAGCCCTCCAAATGTTCTTAACCTGCAAAACAAAAAAACAAAACCGAGGAATCTTGCCCAAGGAGGAGAGCTTGGGAAAGAGGCTTTGCTCCCTGTATGCATGTACTGGCTCTGCTTGTGTGTGCACGTGTGTGCACACACTTGTGAGACAAGAGGTGGAAGGGGAGAGTGCTTTGGCAGAGCGCCACTTTGTATGTGTGTTTGTGTGCTCAGCTCGTCCCCCCTTTCTTCATCAGTTTGAGCAATCACGTGCCTGGACCAATCTGAAGGATTTGTACTTTTATAGGAAGTAAAAGGCTCCCTGGTAGAAGGAGGGGGACTCTGGGGGATTTGCATTTCCCATTGTGTTGTGTGAACAACAGAAAAAAACACCCCAAGCCTATAGCATTTTCCACATTTTCTGCTAGTGTGGTCGTCCTCTTAATTAAACTGTTTTTATCTGAAGTGCAGATGTGTTTGCCTTTGGCATGGCTGGGATGCTTTGAGTACCTGTGACTTGTTTTTTGTTCTTTTTCTAGATCTTACAACACTTCCAACCTGATGGAAGACCTCAAGCATCTATATAGGACTGCTGGGCAGCAAGGCAAAGGAATCAGCTTTATTTTTACAGACAATGAGATAAAAGATGAGGCCTTTTTGGAGTACATGAATAATGTTCTGTCATCAGGAGAGGTAAAATATATACTTATCTAGCTGTCATCTTTTTTTTTACTCCTCACAATATTTAGTTAGTTATTTTTTTCCTTCTTTTCTTGCTGTCCACACAGTAAGTAGAGGTGGTTCATGAATAAATTCTTCTGAATGGCAGTGTGATTAAGAATTATCCTTAAGATCAGGGCAAGGGTCTTTAACGTTAGTTCAGCTCATTAACATTGTATTCAAGCAAATGTATTATAAAATCACCACCACACAATGGAACCTGCTTCTGATTGGTCTCTAAAGTTTTCTCTGATTAACTGGTGAGATGCAATTTCAGCCACTAAGTGCAAATTTGGAATTGGTGGGGATCCTTCTTAGAAGCACACACATTTAATTACTGTAGATTTTTGGGCCTTAAAATAATGGGGAATGAAACAGAAAATTAAATATAGCCTCGCGTTCATTATTTCATCTTCTGTATCTCAGAAGAATGTCACTGTTGAATTTTTTAAACTGATCAATCTAGTCACTCAGTTTAAAGCAGAAAATTAAATGAAAATTGAGGACTAGGTCTTTTTAAAGTACAGTAGCTCACATTTTTTAAAAAAGATATTTTTCCCTTCCCAAGGTTTCCAACTTGTTTGCCCGTGAAGAAATAGATGAAATCACTGGTGATCTCATACCAGTTATGAAGAAGGAGAATCCACGTCGGCCTCCCACCAATGAGAACTTGCATGATTTTTTCATGACAAGAGTGCGTCAGAATCTGCATGTCATTCTCTGCTTTTCACCCGTGGGTGAAAAATTCCGAAACCGAGCTTTGAAGTTCCCTGCACTTATTTCTGGTTGTACTATAGACTGGTTCAGCCGCTGGCCCAAAGATGCTCTTGTTGCTGGTAAGTCAAGTTTTGTCGGCCTTTGCTGTTGTTTCAGATTATAGAAGACAAGACATTTTGCTCTCAAATGCTATGGGCAATGCCTCCCAGATGCTTTTGGCTGAGCTGCAAGTGGCTGATGTAAGTTGTTGGCCAAAGTATCTGCAAAGCCAAGTACTTCCCACTTGTTTAATAGTTGATGTTTTGTCAGTGGCTTCAATGTGACATTGACTTCACTTACAGGAAATGAAATTTGTGGTAGGTCAGATTTTCCTACTGTTAGGAAAGTTGAGGTTGAGATTGCCTAGGTGTGCTGAAATATTATTATCTCAGTGTCTATATGTAACTGATTCTAACCCTTCATTCTTTCCCTCACCAGGATTATAGTAATGTCTTAGAAAGTGTTTATTTTCACAGCTCATTGGATACTGAAACGGTTACTCAAGTGATTCAAGGTGTATGTAAAACATATTTACAGAGGAATTAGCATATTTATTACATTTCAAAGGTATCTCTTAGTATGGATATAAAGCTTAGGATATCGCTTTTGGTACTACAGGATTTTGTCAATCCCTGTGTGAAACATTAATAAATGAGGAAGCATTCATAAAAATATATCACACATTTTGGTTTAAAACAAATGCCTTAATGTGGGAATTGCAAATTCCAAAATTAAATGAAACCCACTTACCTGTTTCCTTAGCAAAGGAATTCTTAATCCCATCAGTACAAGAACACTAGCAGAACTATCCAATAATTACAAAAGGAGGATTACCCAGTGGTGAAAAGAGATAAGTGCTAAGCTGATTCTACTTCTGGTTGATAAGCAGAGAACTCTGTGACATACAAATTAAAAAGAGCCAGAAATAATAACTTGTAACAAAGAAAAAAATTTCCCAGGCAGTCAGCAAATATATAAGCTCAAAAATCCTGAATTGCTTTGGCCTGCAATTTAGTTATTTGGATAGGCATAGAGCCGCTATTGCATTAAAAAAAATAAACCCTGAGGTTCAAATATGTGTAGTTATTAATGCATCACTGCTAGAAAAAAAATTAAAACTCCATTGAAGCTGAGTCTGTGTATCAGAGGAGCAGCATGAGCTATGAGATCATATGAGTTCATTCTGCTCTGGAAGCTATGGATGGTGGGAATGGGCTCTGTAGATGCTGGGAATTGACTGAGTTGGAGACTAGAGCTTCAAGTCAGCAGTCAAATGGACAAAAGTTAAGGTCAAGGGGTGGGCCCAGGATAACTCCCTGTCTTGACTCAGCTGAGCGACAAGAGGAGCTGGATGAGTTATCCTTTACCCCTGAGTGATTTGATCCAGAAGTTCACAGATCCTTAATGCTCTAAATGTCAAATGAAATGAAAGTGGGTGGAACACATGAGTTTCTTGAAATGGCTGTTTTACATTAAACATATCCTCCTTTGTAACAGGTGAAGTTTCATTTTCATTCTCTTTTTAGTGTCAGAACATTTCTTGTCATCCTATGAAGTTGACTGCACTGATGATGTCAAACAAGAGATGGTGCAGTGCATGGGTTCTTTCCAGGATGGTGTTGCAGAGAAGTGTGTTGACTACTTCCAGAGATATCGTCGATCTACACATGTGACTCCCAAGTCCTATTTGTCCTTTATTCAGGGATATAAAGCTATATACAGAGAAAAACATGCTGAGGTGCAGACTTTGGCCAACAGGTGATGTGTTCCCTTTGATGTTGTCATCTTCCATTTCTCTTCCCCCAATAGGAATGAATAATAGTCAATTCCCAATGTTAATTCTCTTTGGTATACTTTGAGAACTATACTCAGGGTCAGATTAGAAAATCTACATGTCTGCCTAACCTGGACCCAAGGCTGGTGGTCAACTACCGACCAGTGGCGAACCTCCCTTATTTGGGCAAGGTGTTGGAGCGGGTTGTGGCCGGGCAACACCAGGCGCTGCTGGATGAAACGGATTTTCTGGATCCATTTCAATTACAGAGACATCCTATGTCGCCCTGTATGATGACCTTTGCCGGGAGAGAGACAGGGGGAGTGTGACCCTGTTGATACTCCTGGACCTCTCAACGGCTTTCGACACCATCGACCATGGTGTCCTTCCGGATAGGCTGGCTGGGTTAGGAGTTGGGGGCACTGTTTTACGGTAGTTCCGCTCCTTCCTAACTGACCGTATCCAGAGGGTGGTGCTGGCGGACAGTTGCTCTGCCCCATGGCATTTATGTCATGGGGTTCCTCAGGGCTCGATACTGTCCCCCATGCTGTTCAACATCTACATGAAACCGCTGGGAGAGGTCATCAGGAGGTTTGGG